TAATAAATGTTTCCACATGGGAAGACTGTATCATCTGCAACACGTGTTTTACGTTATTTTCATGTTGAATAATAAGATATGATATTTTACAATATAGAATATATCGCGAACAAGGTGAAAACTATTCGACAAAATAGTTTTGTAAGAAAAAAAGTCTGGGGTTGGAAACTGATCAAAAACTGGTTAGTAACTGTTCAGAAACTAATTAACTTTATTGTCCAGTTACTGGCGAAGCAAGCGTCGTCCAAACTGGTTAGTAATTAGCCAGAAACTAGCAATCAGAATTCCTGGCTAGTTATTAGCTAGAAAATTTTCTACTCGGATAGTGTAACAGCTTCTCCTCTTTCGTGCTTCTCACCAAGGAAAGTGTCTTATACTAAGAGAAGAAAAAAGAGAAAGAGAGAAAGAGAGAAAGAGAGAGAGAGAGAGAGAGAGAGAGAGAGAGAGAGAGAGAGAGAGAGAGAGTGAGAGAGAGAGAGTTTTGCTAATTTAACGAAATATTAGTAGCCGTAACAAATAGTTCCTTGATATAAAAAACAAATGAGCACAAATGTGATTTGTGTCTCAGGCGATGTATGTTTGGTAAAATGACAAGTGAGATGATTTGAGATAACGATAACTGTTCGATCTGTCTGCCTAACGATCATCAAACAGCAAACGCGGTTTTGTTCTGATAGCTGAGGGGTTCTTCTCAATGTATTCTCGCCGTCCTCTCTTACTAATGACTATTGACTTAATCCCTCCTACAGCAACGAGTAGGTTTATTTCACATGTCCGTGAGAAGATTATTCTTCAATTCGCAGGTTTTGCGACTAATTCTCGTGTCCCTTTTGTCTATACTTTTGCTGATTTTAATCGGACCACGAGCAGAGAGAGGGTGTACAAAGGTCGATAATGCAGGTGGAGGTTTCCTTGCCTAGAATTTTCTAGGACGCCGGCGATGAGAGTACAATACGCGCCGTCGTATCGTCAGCTCTTTCGACTGCCATTAAGTCGCGTTTTTCTTACGGTATACGCTACAGTTAGCCGCGGAGGTTCTTCGCGTCTCGGTTATCTACACACCGCTTCTTGCAGAGTAACAAACCGAACTTCCTGATCGTCTCGGTCCTTCACCTCACTCTCCGTGCTCGTCTCGCTCTCGTGTTTGCTTTACGTTTCACGTCGCGTCGCGTCTCCCTTTCTCCTCCTCTCTGCATCCCCGTAGTCTTTTTGACGCGCGAGTTATCATTTTCTATTTAGATCCTGCGAGATGCACTCCGCATGCACCTCTAAACTCGAACTTTCTTCTACTTGCGCGTGGTCCGGATCTTCGTAGCGAGCCGTATCTTCCGGAAAGATACTCTCTTCTTCCGTTCTATCTATGGTTCTCGTCCTCGTCGCGACTCTGTTCGCGCACTGTCTCTTCTCGTCTCCGTTTGATCGGCGCGTTTTTCCTTCTTCCGCTTCTTATCTCTCCTCGGTTCACCTTCTCTTCCCCATATTGCACCTCTTGTACACATCCTGTCTCGCTCTGCGGGATTCTTCAATCCTCGCTTCAACCGACGACGTTTCTCTTGTCTTCGTTCGTCAGTTACCCCCGTGGTCATAGTCATCGTCTTTGTCTTTGTCTTCGTCTCGTTTCCGCACGCATTTTTTCGTCTCACCTTTTTCAACCGATTCACTCCCGCTGCGTCCACTTTCACGACCTCTTGTTGTCGCGCTTCAACCACCGGCGTTTCTCCGTCCCTGCTTCTACAAACCCCCTTTGCCATTGTTCTCTTCCTACTCACGTCGTCTGTCTCAATCCCCGCGATTGTCTCTCTTCAGCGTCGCTCTTCGCGTCGCGTCTTCTCTGTTTAACCCCCGCATTCTCCCTCTTCAACCGGCCCCCTCCTCCAGCCTACCCTCTCTCTCTCTCCCTCTCTCTCCCCCTCTCTCTCTCCTCTCCCTCTCTCTCCTTCTCTCTCTCTCTCTCTCTCTCTCTCTCTCTCTTTGCCCCCCACCAACCCGCACACACCCTCCGTCGTCGTCAAGCGCCGGTTCCGTACGGATTGGTCCTGCGCGCTAGGGATGCTGCGAGATAATCGCGCCCTCTCGCCCCTCGCGTAACCAACCCCCGCGAGTCACCCCGCATCGAGGGAAGCAGCAGTGAGAGCCAGGCCGCCGCCATAGCCGCTCCCCGGGCAACGAAGGAGGAGAAACCGGCGAATCACTCTCTCTTCCTCTCACCCTCCTCTGTCACCCTCTTTCACGTTCTTTCTGTCTCCGTTCAACCCCCGGGTATCCGCGTTGCGGTGCGCGTTTCTCCGACGGCGTTCTCTACCTATATATCCCGGGCTGGAATTTCACCAGCGTGACTCGTCTCGCACGCGCGCGAACCGACCGACCGACCGACCGACCGACCAACCGACCGACCGACCGACCGACCGACCAACCAACCGACCGACCGACCGACCGACCGACCGGGCGAGCACCCGGCGGCGAGGGTGACGTGGACCCAGACACACGCGCCGTTTTCGCGAGCAGCGTGCACTCGACGCGAGCGTGTGAAGACGGTGCTGCTGACGAAACGTCGGTGTCCGCGAGAACGACCACGACGAAGACGACTGTGTTGATGATGACAACCAGGCAGGGAGTGCGTAGATGAGCCAACGAAAACAGTGGAGACTTCCTAGCGGTGACGACGGCGATGTCACTTCGACGACGACGACGGCGGTAGAGGCTCACGCGTGTCGTCCACGCAGGTGACCGCCGTGCATCGTCAGGTGTCATCGAGGGCACGGGGCCGATCGACGAGGGTGGCTTTACGAGAGTGCCGTTGGCTGTCACGAGGCGGTCGTGCGGAAAATTCGAGCGATCTCTTAAGCTGATCACTCGATAGAACCCGGTGGAGGGAGAGCTACCCCGCGACCGAGGGATACGTCGTTTCGCGCGAGTCTGTCCACCTCCACGCAGCCGGCACATATGATCGCCAACGTTCGCGACATTGACATCGTGCGCGCAACACGCACCTGATCGCACATCGGTGACGCGGAGGACGGTGTCGATCGCACCGGTGACCGCGAATCGCGAGTCTGAAAATCTCGTCGTGCCACGGAAGTTTGCAGTGACGGCGAGAGTGACGAGCCGTGAACTTTCGGGGCATGCTGTCGAGAATCTCGTGGATCGCCATGTCAGTGTGAGTGTTCGCTGTGAGGCAGAGATCGCGGATGTCATCGCGGGCAGATCAACACAGCCCGCGCGGACGTGGAACACACCGTGACACGTCAGCTGTGCTATCGCGGAGTCGAGCCGAGTGATCGTCGCGAGAACACGCGAGTGCTTCAGAGAGAGAGAGAGAGAGAGAGAGAGAGAGAGAGAGAGAGAGAGAGAGAGAGAGA